GAGTGAGACCATCCAGCCAGTTCTTTATCCATTGAGCGGTCCATCCATCAGATCTATGTCTCTCCAGTTTTTAGACAAGGATATCATGTGGGAAGGTATCGAAGGCTTTGCACAAGTCCAGGTAAATGACATTAGTTGCCTGTCCTCTGTCCACCAAGGTCGTGACCCCATCGTAGAAGGTCAGCATATTCATCAGGCACGATCTACCCTTGGTGAAGCCATGCTGGCTGTCACCAATCACCTCCTCATTCTCCATGTGCCTTAGCATGGTTTCCAGGAGGACCTGCTCCATGATCTTGCCAGGCACAGAGGTGCAACTGACTCCCCTGTAGTTCCCCAAGTCCTCTTTTTTTCCTTTTTTAAAGGAAATGGCAGGAGGCAGAACTAGACGGTCTTGAAGGTTCCTTCCAAGCCAAATAATACTAAGATTATAAGATAATTAAGTTTGTTAATCCCAATTCTATAATATTATTGCTGATCTAGTGGATGCATTCAACCAGGTGCCATTGATTAGTCAATTGTTTAAAAAGCATCAAGTAAGTAGAACAGCCAGAATGAGTTTATTTCATGGAAGGGAGTAGCAGCAACAACAAAAGCTAGAGTGCCAGCACAGCAGACAATTGTTTCAGAAGAAGAGTGAAACAGACAACTGTCTAAGGAAAAACAGTAATGAATTTGGGAAGAACAAACTGGACCTTAGCTTCCACAAAACTTCTGAAATCGAAGTTAAAAATCACGTGGAAAGAACGTGTTTTAGAATAATAGGTGCAGAAATGCTACATTGCCTAAAAATGGACACACACTTTCATTACTCTCTTGTCCTCTAAGCTATCTCCTGCTAGCCCAGTAGCCTGGTAACAAATACATTCGAGACACTCTTTGTTTTTAAAGGTTCATGGAAACAGTATCAGACTTACAGCTTGTCCATTTGCTTCATAAAGTGGGCATTTTTGTTTTATCTTAGCCAATTCCATATTCACTTGTTTGCTGACCACAGCCATTGGATTTCCTCCTGGAAAACATTTTGTATAGTTATCAGATTACTCCTGCAAAGTTTGTCTGCAATTAAATACAAATTCCACAGTTAGCAATATTGCAGAGATTAAAAAACAAACTCCAGTGCACAACGCATTCCAGTAATGCACTGACCAGCAGTATAACACTGCCAAAGGTCTACTCTTCACGGAAATTCTTGCAACAAGGTCATAGAAAAAATCTGCCAACCAAAATTTAAAGGACAGTATGTAAAAAGAGCTGATTATATAAGCAGAGTCCCAGTGTAGCAGCAAACTCAGTACGATTTAGAGTTTATAGCTATAAATGCATTTTGAAAACATTTGCAAGCAGAGTGTTTGAAAAGCCAAGGAAAGCACCTACAGCTTCTCAGAAACTTCAGAAGCTTTTGAAAGTGTGATGACATGGAGATAGAACTCAAAAAATTCAGTCTCTAAAAACCTAGTGGAACTCCAACAAGCTGGAGTACACCAACTGTACCTGGAAGATGTATGACGAAACATATTAGAAAATGATCTAAGAGATTCCACACAGAAACATGAGAAAGGCAGAATGCATCAGCTTTAAGCATCCAGAATCACTAAACATCAAACTCTCCCCAAGTATAGCAGAGGAAAAGAAAAGAACGGATGCAAATAGGAAATGACATAGAGGAGAGGCAATGTGGGGGTCCTCCACAAAATTAGCTTGGGGAAAAGTTTTCCAGATCTAGCTTCCCAGTGTTGTCTGATTCTGCAATCCAATCAAATCCAGAGCCTTAGCTCAAAATAGAGGGGGAAGTTCAGCCACCCTAATACCTTCCTGTATTTAGAGGTGACTGAACAAGCCGAACAGTTTTGAAGTAGGCGTAAATAAGTTCATCTTTCAAGTTTAACAACCTACTAAAAATTTTAGTTCTTCCACAGTTTACTAAAAAAACCCAGAAAACATCCCATAACTTCAGTCTTTCACCTTCCTGAACCACAAGCTCAACCCCTCCATTCTTCTTCGCTCCCCACATCTCTTCCAGATTCAGAAATATGAAGGACACCTTTCAAACCATCTCTTTCACTACAGGAATCTTTCTTTCTGTATAGATATGTTGGCTCATTAGAAGCAAAGGGTAGATTCTTTTGCAAAGGAAACACCCATGATGAATTAAATATAAAAATATTACAGTCTTTCACTAGGCAATCTTAGTTAAATCTGTTTTATCAGAGCTGTGCAACTTCAATCCTCACTGTCGGGAAACAGTTTCTGTATGTAATTTAATAGAGATTAACCACAAGACAGACACCAAGTTTTGTCAGTGAGTAAAACTCAGTTGGGTTTTATTACAAATTTTATAATATCTTATCATTCCACCGTATTATTGAAGAGTATTGCACACTAAACACCTGCCCATCTTCTTAGTGGAGCAACCAGTATCAATAACTGAGGCCATCCCATCAAACAGCATTAAAAAGAAAAAAAATATGGCTTGTTTGCCATTATTTTTACAACTTTTTGAAATCATTTAGAGAAAGAAGTTTTGGGGTTTAAATTCTGACTTTAAGAAGGGCTTCCTCTCTAGAATGGCTCTGCTCATCATTCCCCCTCCTCCATTCTTTTCCCCCATGTAAATTCAAATAACATATTCCATCTCTTTGGGATCTTTCCCATCTTACAACTTTGCTATTTAGTTGTTCCTACCTACTTTGCTCTTAGCTACTCATCTATTCCCCTCACTACATTCACACTTTCCTTATACTGTGGAAGATCCAAGGGAACAACTTAAAGAGAATTACAAAGAAATTCAGTCCAGGGACCTAAGCTCAGAGGCCACTGGCAGCTGCGTGAGCAGCTTAAGAAAGACAGCAAGTGCAGTGAACCCAGTGCAGATACCTCCTTAAAGGAACTGGGCAAAGGAACATACACACAGAAGGACAGCATACAAAGGAAAGAGGTAAGAATTCCATTCACTGATGAAAAATGATAGCTACCAGTGGCTGAAGGGGAACATCTGCTTTTTAATAGTTAAAAGTACACATTTATTTTGGTCATGGAAAGGAAATGGCGTAAGGCTTCAGATTTGTAATAGCCTGTCCCACAGTTTTCCTCCTCGCTCCTTTTCATTTTGAAAAACTCACCAAGTCCTGTTACGACCATCGCTCCTAGATCAGCAACATAGTTCCCTTTGCGAAAGGTAGCAACTCTTCCTCCTACTCGGTCCTTTAAAAGCACAGTATGTTAAACCTCTGGTAACATTTGCCAATACATGTTACTTAAATATCAACACTGAAACAAAACATGGTATAAGCATACTCTTATCCAAAGGTTCAATAAGTAGAATGTACACTTTCCCAAGAACCTCTGCAAATGAACACCTAATCTCAGTTAATTTGCCTAAGTTAAGGAACAAAATGTTTGAGCTGCATTGGAAAAAAAAAAAAAAAGGGAAAGAAAAAAGTGCTTAAAATGATTTGGAGATTGAACTATACCTACAGTAGGATCTATTGTGATTCTAAAATCAACCCGTTATTGTCCATGGACAGATGAAGTTATGCACTATATCTCCTCCTCCCACTTTCTACCACAAAATTCAATAGCTATATAGGAAATGATTCAGCTGTGCTTGAGAAAGCTAAATTTTAGGGTTTCAAAAATCAATTATTTGATTCTTCTGCCAACTATTCCTATCTAATCTCTGCAGAAGAGCCAACTATCAATTAAGAAGATAGCCACAAATCAACAGCCCGTTTCAGAAGCTGGGAAAAAAATTTTGATTCCTGACACATACTACTTACTTAAGAATGACACTTACTTTCCCACCACTTTAAACTTAATAAGGAAAAAAAAAGCTGCCTTTCCTCATTCTCAGTCCATCTAGCAGGATGATATCGGAGAGAAACATCAATTACAATTAGGCAAAGATCCCAAATAGCTACCAATTCATATAAAAATGTAACGTTTGATTTTTAGTAATTAAAGCAGGAATTCAGAAGCATGTAAACTAAAAATCTAAGTTACAGAAAATGAATGGACACAGAGAAACTACCATCTGAATCACTGAAATCAGGATGTGAGAAAACACCAGACAGCCATAAAAATTAAATAAAACATCCCCCACCCCCTCTGGGCTACTCAAGAAGTGATGCAGCAGTCTAGATAAAACGACTGAAAAATACTGTGCTTTATTTTAGAATACCCTCTTGACAGATGTACATACTGGTTATTAAAAATATGTGTAGAACAACACCCAGGTTACAGCACAGATCTTTCTTCCAGCTTAAAAAACAAACAAACCAACCCCCCAACCCCCAAAAAAACACCACAACCACCAAAACTTGCAAAAAGCATAAGATAAATTGCAATTTAATTGGTCAAAAGATTTATGTATTTTAAGTGACTATCAAGCTGTTCTCAACTTATTACATTATATGAAAAAAACCCTTGAACTTGAAAAAAAAAATATCCTTCTTAGGGTAGGTATAAAAGAATACCTTACTACTGTAAGAACAATCAGCTAGCTCACGCACCACACACTGTAGCTCTCTAAAGCCTGTGTTAAGCACACAGTAATAAAGAAAGAATTAATGTAGACTTAAAATGTACAAGGAAAAAAGTCCTGCCTGATGCTGTACAACAATTCTAAACTATGATTCTTGAAGCACAGACTTGCATGCTGCTGTCAAGTAAAAACCCAGTTCCTGATGATGAAAGGAAGATGATTCCAGCCTATTACTGGTGTAAGCATATGACACTAGGACGTGATTATGCAGCCCATCCCTGAGAAAGCATTAGCCAACTGCCAGTGAGAACAGATACACTTGTTTCCTAATGAGACAGGTTTAGTACTCAGCAATACATCCCAGCTGTGCGTAACTACACACAAGCTTACCCATCTCAGGCATGCTGCTGGGACACTACTTAGCCTTATGCTAGTACTGAATGTGGTTGCTGGTTAAGTGTCCGTATAGAAGTAAAATAGCGCAGAAATTCATACCCTGGCTTCCAGAACTGTGACATCCATCCCGAAACTCTGCAACTGCCGAGCTGCTGCCAACCCAGAGACGCCAGAACCAATAATGATCACCTTTCCGGTCTTCTTGGCTAAAGAAATGGAAAAATAAGCTACAGACCCTATATGTGCACTGTAAGTGGCCATGGTTGCATTTAAGAGACATCAAGAATATAAAGAAGCTTCCTTCTCATTGGTAGTTCTGACAGAACAAACTGTTTAACAAAACAAATAGCCACAAAAAAGAAAATTGAAGGAATTATGTATATAATATAGTAACAATAAAACAGTAAAATGATTTTTCTTAATGAGACAGGTACAAGAAAAATACACCATTAGTGCATCTGTGACAAGGCAGAGAACAGGAGGAAAAACACTTCTGAAGGACAACTATTTAAAGAAACTAATCTTTATAATTACAGTGGGACAAAGTATCACAGTTCTATTTCTTTCTGCCCCAGAAGAATAAAACCTAGAAAGGACAGAAAAGCTCAGCAGTTGTAAAATTCAAGCATCATATAGGTATATAACAAATGTAAGTACAATATTGTGTTTCTGTCTTGTTATTCAAATGAGGAACAAGGATAACACATTAAACAGTAACAGCAACCATATTATCTACACAAGATTTGTAAACATTTTCCCACTCTCAAAGTGATTTATTAAAGACATGGCTTCTCCATGCCAAAATAAAAACCACAAACATCTATAGCTTGATGGCCTTCCAGCCATTTTTAGTCTTATCAGCACTGCAATCCGAAAAGAATCAGTCAAAAATTTGTTCTAACAAATCACAGAACAATAAAACAAAACTCCATTAAAAACAATTTCTAAGTTTCTTACTTGGAAGGGGCTTCACTCTTTTGTAGATACCAAAGTTGATGAGACCATGCCTCTCCAGATAGCTGTGTACTCTATGAACGAGCACTGTATCACCTAAAATATTGTAAAGTTTTAAAATTACCCTGTATGTTCAGAGGCATGTAGGTATTGAAAACATTCACAAGCAAATGTGTCACAGCAGCAACCCAGCAAAGTCACACTTAACACATCCCTTTCTGCATCCCCACATGGCCTGCTGAAGAATCCAGCATCCTGAAGATGGCTGAGGTTGGATTTCTGAAAATCACAGGCTTGTTTCCATGCTATACTGCAGTCTGAAAAGCTGTACAGGACATTAAGTGCTTTTACTTATTTAGTGCAGAAGAACCTCTTGTCTGAACATCTTGTGACCTACTCTAGGTGATCCTACTCTGGCAGTGGGGGTTGGACTGGATGATCTCTAGAGCTCCCTTCCAACTCCCACCACTCTGTGACTCTGTGTGAAACTGACTGCGGAGATCTTTACACGGATCTGTAATGCCATTTTAAGCCAACTTCTTACTGAAGCACTGAATTTTCATTTGTATGAAGACAATAATTCATTATTTTGCAATACCTGACAGTGTATTAGTGTTTGTTTCACTATTATTTTCTTCTTTAATTACTCTTTCTTCATAGCTCCCCTCCACCTTTTTTCAGTTTACTGGGATCTTTCTGGAGAAGGGTGGAATGGCCTACATTCACAAGCAGTAACTCCTTGCTCTTTTACTCCCTTCTTTCATCACATCCACTCTGTCCAAGTCTTATGCAACTCTTTAATGCCTCACAAAAACCTTATGATTAAGAAAATTTCACAGCTGCAAACCACCACGAACTTGTAGCAAACTTTAAAAGATGCCTGTGGGAAACCTCTGTAACAACTTTTTGTTTTACCAGCTTTCTTGAATTCTGCTAGGGATCTGTTTCTTTACAAGCCAAATGAAGTCTAACAAATCTGAAACATGACCATACTGCAATATCCCATTCTGTACACCCACACTCATGGAGCTCCACAAACAAAAGGACTCATCCGAAGTCCTCCCTTGATTCTGAGCAGGTTTTCCCCAACCAAAACTGAAAAAAGAATATCAATGATACATATGGTTTTGGCAGTGAAAGATTTTACTTACTATTATAAGGCGCTTCTAGTTGTTGGATAGTTGCCTCAAATGTCAACTGAATCTTTGGGTTATCCAACCAGAGCTGAAGCTGTATTTAAACACAAAATAAGACACATTATATTATGCAATGCAAAGAGGTGTTTTCCATTGTGTGTGTGTTTTGCCCTCTAGTGTTCTTTAAAATGCAATACAGTTTATTTTACCTTCCTACATCATTTCAAGTAAGTACAAATGCATAAAGATAACAATCTCCTAATCACACATTCAAGAAAACATAACACTGAAAGAATGAAAGCTATACAATGGAAGCACCAGAAGGCTTTATGTACAACCTTCCTTCCACCTGCATGGCAAGCGTGGTGTGTGATATTTTAATTGGGCAAGCAACATCAGCCAACATCTGACTTTTTGGCATCAAATTTCACATGATTTCTGTAAAAGCTACAGAAGTCCTTGTCGTCTTATGAAATTTATTTATCTCAGACCTTTAATAATCGAATCCATCTCCACTGATATAAGAAACTACCATGGACTAGACTGGCCAGGTATATACAAGAAAGAACATTTAGAGGACAATTCAAACATCAAGCAGGAATAGCTGCCTGTGAAATATTAATTATGTCACTTCACGCTAGGAAAAAAGCACAGAATAATAAAATGACAACTGCTTTGCAACAGAACTCCTACTTCACAACTTGGATGTCAATAGTCAATAAACAGCATTTTACTGCTCAATGCCTAGATCTACGACATACATACCATCTCCACACCACTTTACATTCCAGAATTAGTAATTTATTGGGGTATTTCTCTACAACTGCACTACTGAACTTCACAGGTCCTCACAGATACCAAATTGAAGTGGAAGTTTTACAAGCATAATGAATAGGAAGTATTAAGAAAGAATTTCCATATAATTTGGGAGGCCATTTGAGGCAAGTTTCGTTTTCAGCATAGTACTTTCTCCTCCTTGTTTTCCAAGCAACTTTTAATAATGTTCTTTCTGGTCATTTCAGAGTGGGGAACTAAACATTTTGTATTACTATCTAACACAACGCTAAGATTCCATTCTCAGCTGAAAAAATGCAAAGCCCGTAAACTGTATTTTTATAATATAAATCTCTGTATACAATTAATTCCATTATTCATATTAGTTTATTTTTATTTAAAATTAATTTTATCTAGTATGTTATCACCCAGTTACTCATAAGAGTCTTCAATCTTTGGTTGTTTTTGCAGTCCTCATTTTTCTACCTAAAGTAACTTAGTATGTGCAGCAAATGACCATTTCTTTACAAACTCTGATTTTCAGACCCTCCACAAATACACAGAACAGACCTTAGAATATTTTAAAAGCTTCAAACCACAACTGTCCTGCACTGCCCCAACAGATAATTCGTAAGATTTCATGATCTGCTTTAACCAGCAGTTACTGAGCAGGAGTTCTTACTGTTCTGTGGTTTGTTGGTTTGGCTTTTTTTGTGAGTTTTCATTGATCGGTTTGTGTTGTTGTGGGATGGGGGGGGGGGGGGGGACATGTAGAAGATCACATGAAGTGGATCTCCTTTGTTCACAAGTCTTCCTCAGAAAGGGATTCCTGCTTAGGAACTTTTCTGAGTTCCTCCATAGCAAATAGGGTCTAAAATCCAATAATTCAGTTTTTCTAGTGCAGCCCTGCAAATACACCTTCCAAGCATTCCTTTAAATCCGTAATCTATTAGTTTCAGTAGAAGGCTTTTTGCTTCAAAGCTGTCTGTAACAGGATTACTCACTACACATTGAGCAAACTGTTTTTCAAACTTTTTGGCTTGCATTGTTCTGTTTTTACGTGTCTCATGACTTCCCAAAAGTTACAACTTAAGTTAATTAGTGGGAGATTTCACAGAAATACCAAAAGTCATGCTCATAGCATGAAGATGTCCACCATGCATAAACTTCTAATAACTTCTTCATGTTTTTAAGCATTGGGTGGGTGCTGTGAAAAAGAAAATAAATGGTGCATAAAGTGTTTTGTTTCTTAACTAGGGTAACAAAGCAATTTTAAAAGTATTTATTCTTAATATGAAAATATTTATTGCTTTCTAACTGTTAATTTTTTTAGCATGACTTAAGTTTCTTAAAACACTCTCTTCTAAGTACAGCAGAAAGCCCTGAGTCCTGTTTGTGTGCTGCAGAACCTAAAAGCATTGTTACAATTTAAAAGCATCATCTACAAAACACAATACTACTGTTAAGTTCTATTAAGGTTTAAACTTCAGGCAAGCTTTTACCTAAGTTTAATGAAGTCTCCAGTGAATTATTTAAAATTTAGAAAGAAGAGGAAATATTCAAGTTGCATGGAAGTTCTGAATTGGGCACAAAGGCTACAAACATTTAGAAGCAGAGTTTTATTTCTTCCATGTTACAATTTCTTTTATGAAATTAAAGCTGTCACAGTAACTATTCTGTTTTGAGAATAAGACATGTAACTGGCTTGATGTCTATGTATTACAGCAACCGAATTCCAAGCAAAGTAAAAAAATAAAAGCTGAGAGGTTTGCGTTATTCTAAGCAACAACACATTTGACGAAACACTACTTAGGGGTTCTACCGAGACTTCTTTAAGATGAGATTAAGTAATAGAACATTTGCACTAGCTTTCTGTTTGTTTACTTCTTAAAAGTTGTATTAACTGAATCGTGTAGTTTTGATGGTTGTTATGACGATGTTTTGGATATTCTGAATATACTCCAAATTCCTTATGCTGCCTCACAGCACTGCCTCAATCAAGAACTGGGTAACAGCTTTTGTAGCAACGCAGAACGAGACAGGATGCCAGAAATTTAACTCCATCATCTCAAAAACAAACAAACAAACAAAAAATCAAACAAACAAAAAAAAACCAAAAAACATGGTAACTGCCAAATAGTCTTTGCAAGGTACACAAATATCCTACCCTTTTTTCATCAATACTTTCACAAACTTACGGTGCGGTTCCTGATGTACAGAAACACCTTCTGAGTCTGCTGTGGCCCACTGATTATATCAGGGAAGCAGGCAGCTTCTTGAGATGTCATACGGTCATGTGGAAGTCTACTCTGGAAAGCTGCACCCTCCACACCTACAATAAAAAGACAAGTTGTCTACAGGCACTGCAAAACAAACTGCTAAGTAAGTATTCTTACACTACCATTCCTAGGCAGTGCATCTAGCCTTGAGGTGATACAGTGGCCAATTTCATGTCATGCTTTCATCTAGTCCTTTTATTTATTTCTGCAAGACATGCAGGTTCCCAAGTCAGCAGTTCTTTGAATTACAGGTATAATCTAGGGTTAATGAAAAAGCTATACTACAGGGTGGAGTGGGGAAACAAAAATAAACCACCTGAAAAATAAGGGGGGCAGGGGCACATATCAAGGTAATATATACTATGATATATGTTACATATAACATATGTATAATAGCAATAATATCAATAAAACATAACTGCTTTAAATTCATTTGTGTGTTTTCCAGTTTCTACCAGAATATGAAAAAAACATTTTGGAACCTGTTCAAAGCCAAAAGATCTGTAAGATACAAGCACAATGCCTACAGTCCCCTCTCACATACTTTTTCAAGGGTTCATTTGCACTGAACTCTTTAAGCTAGAGTAATCCACCTGAATCTCTCCTTCTGCAATTTCATATATTCGCAAGAGGCAGGGCAATGAAATACAACCCTACTTATGCTTTTCCTGTGTCCCCTCTGCTGCCCACAGTCAACAACTACAGATATCTGACTTTTCCTTCTAAATGCTTCACTGGCAATGAAGTCATAATACAGTTATGTACCCTACATTTCTCAATCTCATTTGAATGTTTTACTATATATAAAGTAATAAACCAAGACACAGCTGCACGAAGTGCTACAGCACGAGCGCAGAAAGTGAAACTTTCAGACATAGCAAGCAAAACACAATACTGAGATGCGATATACATCAAGAACAATGTAAATCTTGCATGTCCTAGGAGGCGACTTAAGATCACAACAGACAGAGGAGAGGACATTCATCTGGAAACGTAACAGCCAATACATCCCAAGGGGGGAAAAAACCCTTAAGTAATGCAGTAAGATTAAGATAATTTGCTGAAACTGGAATTGTTCAAAAGATTTTAATAAATACTAAAGGAAAAATAAGCTTGCAGTGCATTACATTAAGACAAGTTTAGTATGACTTTTATGTACACATGTCACTGTACTGGTGAGAGGAACTCTCTTCTTCCAGTTCTGGTGCAACCACACACACCTTTAATTTCCGCACATTTTTCCATCCCAAAGGTGAAGAAAAAAATTTAAGCAAGTAAACAGTTGTGAAGCTAACAAAAGTCATTCACAAGCAAGGATCAGAAGAGCTAACTACATGATGACACAAAGTAAATAAAACTTTCTATAACTGTTTACAAGAGGAAATTAGTAACAGAGGCTACAGAACACTGCAAGAAAGAAAAATGAACAATAGGAAAAGTTCACACACCCACAACGATTCTTCACACTATGTGTGACTAATGTTCAGCTATGAAACAGAAACTCATAGCTCTGCTAGAATTTCAGCTTCTTCAGTAATAAACATCCCCCAGCCCTTCCGTTATCCTTCAGTCCAACACTGAACCAACTGTGCAGACATCTACCTATGAATGCATATGCTACAGAATTCACAGAAACTCTGCAAAACCATGCATGTAAATCAAGCCAAAGTTACCAATTCTGACACTTTATTAATGTTAACAAATCCTAATTAAGTTCTAGATCATCAAGTGTTCTCAAAAAGCTGAGCAGCACAATTTTCAGAGAATGGCCAGTTAAAGATTTGAAATGCTGAACCTGACTCCCTGTTACAGGCTTATGATACAGTGAGTGTGCTTTCTCCAGGTATTTGCCAAAAACCACTGACTATTATGCAGTGATCAACTACCAGGAAACTCTGACATGTGGATTTAAGGCAACTTGCCAGTTTCTTGAAAAGCTTTGCAATGTATTTCTTTAAACTGAGAAGTCAGAGAAATTGGCAATCCTAACAGCTTGGAAAGAACTCAAAGGTGGTGGTTTGTTTTTTGTTGTTGGCTTTTTTGTTTTGTTCAGTTGTTTTTTTAAGGTCACACATCTTTTAAGACACTACTCAAACCTTACAACTAAAATGGCAGAATAGCTCTGCATGAGCACTGATATTAAAAAAGTAAAACCAAATAATCACAATACACAACAGTGTTTGACATCAGAATTTAGAAAAAGCCTACCTATTATTATCAAAGATAGCATTTTATTTGCCCAAACACCAGAAGACCTTGTAAGAACTAAATGAATTTACTTGAATTTACTTCTACTACAGAGTTCAGAGTTAAATCACTTTCAGGCTGATTAAATCTACCCCACCCCACACTCTTACTTCCTGTGTTTCATGAAAAACAACATATTAAAGGGAGTACCAGGATAGAACTACACATGCTGTCTTTGCGGCTGGCAACTCTTAACGACTGCAGGATTGGCTTTGCCTAGACCAGATTCTCATCTCCTCTTCACACACATTCGCACACACACTTGCCACTTCCCGACATTCAGCATCAGCAACTAATGTGCTGAAGTTCTGATTATCTTTTTCCCCACAGGAGAAATCCAGAGGGATGCTGCTCATTTAAAGACTTAATGAAACATCTGCAGACCAAAAAAAAAAACCATTCTGAAGGAAAGCTATTTGGTGCTAAAGCATACCCTCAGCATATATATAAAATGCAAAATATGTAGAATTTCCAAATGCCTGCCTAAAAATGAAATAGGCAATGCATCCTTAAGCCCATAATCTATAATAGTCAGAAATTCAGTGCAATCGGTAAGATCCAAAACATAACTAGGCTCCTTTTCTTGGAACAGCAAGGATGAATTCTCAGATGAGTATCCTGAAGTCACATTTGCTTCAAAAAGAGCAACTTGGAAGTACAGAATATGTTCTGGAGCCTTCAACTTCTTTGTTTAAAACCATAATCCTCAAGTGAGAGCAAAAGTGGCAGAGCTGGAGGTAGATTTTCAGTAGCACTCTGAGTACTTAAGAGTAAAGACACCAATTCTGTGAATTAAACAGTAAGTGCATACTGCTAGCATCAGTACTTAGGTCAAATGGCAAATGCAAATCACAACCCAGTCCACTGAAGCAGACTATGAATCTTCCCAACAGATAAATCTCTTGGGCTAACCACTGTCACACAGTTCAAATGCAAACCCTTTAAAAAAAAAAAGCCACCAAACAAAAAAAACCCACAAAAACAGTGGAGCAAAAAGGTACTCCACACTGATTTCTTCAGCAAATTAGGGAAAAGGTCTACTGTGCTGAAGCTCAGGGATTTCTGTGTCATCCTAGGTGATAAAATCTGGCTAGGTAAGAAATCTTTTTGCATGTTTGGACTCCTCTGAACATGGAGAGGAGTGGAGGGATGAGAGATCGGCCTGAGGCATTTCAACATAAGTTAGTGTCCTTTTCCGCAGTTGGTACAGACCTCAACTGAAATTTGAAAATACCCTTCACTTCTTTAGCAGGTGGGTGAACAACTCCTGTACCTCTGGCTAAATTCTGGACAACCATACCCATGCGCACTTGCAAGCATCAATCCCTAACTTGGCGGCTCTTGCTACTAAGTGGCAAGCATCAAACGCCACCCTCACCTGATGCTTGGCCGTCTCCATACCCTCCAGAACTGTCGTCTTGAAGTCCTCCTGCTTGCCCTGTGGAAGGAAAGAGGAGAACTCAGGGACCTTACTCCATAAGTTAAACCATACTGGACATAAAGGCCCTGCAGTTGGCGTTTTAGATGTTAAATTTCACCAACTAACTGAACGCATTTTCTGAGAATCCCATCTTCCGGAGCCTAGGTTCAAGGCACCAAACTCTGTAGTCTTCTAAAGTGTTATCCCATGTTACTAGAACACTTTACATCAGATTTTATGGGAAATAAAGAAGTACACAATACGTAGTATTTCCGGTGGCTAAATACTTATGATCAACTTCATTAATGGCTATGATTTGAATAAGATTACATTTCTTTCTGCCAAGATCTGGTGGATGGATACCACCAGATCTTATGGATCTCAAACCATAAGAATTAGATAAATCTTGCCCTTGGTACTCCTGAGTGTCTCCATATACAAGGGGATAGTTTGAATCATCCTGAAAAGCCTCTTACTTTCAAGAGAGCCTACTCAGGTGAGGGCTTTTTGGTTTGTTCTTTTTTGTTCCATAACCCCTTCCTTGAAACTTGATGATGGAACTTTTTTGTGAAAAGTTCAGATCACTTATTTTGGCTTCAGTGCCCTTGATACACCAACAGTGTTCTAACACACTAAGACCACCTCTGAAGCCAAGTATGTGTCAATATCATTGATGAGTAATGGGATCAATACCCAGCTCTGAAAGACACTGGTTTTCAATGTATCCAGGGCTGGAAACATGAGGAAAGGCAAAATACTCATCCGAAGAAGTCTCAAAATTATATTAGCCTACATGAAATTCCTAAATAGCAGCCTTGACAGGACTGTAACACAACCAGGAACAGAGCATTTCTAGAACAGAGTTCAGTACAGGTGCAGTGTCTGCATGAACAAAGCTGATATAGGTCACCTCACACACTGCTGATCTTCACAAGAGATGCCAGCTCTGAGTTTTGCTCATAAGTGATATACTTCCACGGGCAGATGATTTGCCTAACGTCTTGTCACCTCCAGAGAACAGGAAGCCATGGATGACTGAAAAGACAGCGGAGCACTTTTCAGCTAGCTGCTCCTGTACCGAGACTCCTTCAAACCAAGTGCTTCAATAGTCAGCAAATTGGATGTTTTCTAAAGTCCAAACAAACTGCTGAGGTCAAGGTAGCAAATCAAACAGTCACTTCCTACAGCACAACATTTCTACGTATCATCTCAAACAGGTAAGAGTAAGGTCTAACCTGAGGCTGAACACACAGCGCTTTAGAGTTTTGGACTGGGGAGACAATTTTGCTAAAATGTAATTTGAAGCTGTTAAGGGATACACTAACTTCAAAGAATTTCATCTGAACTATAAATTTAAGCCCTAAAGCAAGACAGAGAAAGTGAACCAAATGTTTTCATGCTTCAATAACCTGTATTATAATTTGGAAAGCTGTAACAGTACACATCTACAGAGGAAAATAAACTAGGAACTGAAACAAGACACACATTTACACTCACCTACAGGAGAGGAGTGATAGTCAGTACTTTTACATACATCAATCTACCAGCAGGAAAGTTCATAAACTCACAAGAGAAACCATGACAAATACCTGTATTTTGACAGGCCTGAGAAGTCCCAAAGTCAGGATTCTATGAACTGCATATCAGCAATAGCAAGAGAAAATTCCTCACTTCACCTGCATCATAAGTACTTTATTTTGCTGAGAACATTACCAGACCTGCTTCCATTCTGGGAGTGACTTAACACAACTCAAACATGAAAATTTAAACTCCAGTAGAGGCCATTTATTTGCAGGAAAAGTTACACTTGTGCCTTTCATAAATTAAGAAATCCAAATGATGCTAATATCAGCCTGTGTCACTCATTTCCCCTGAACTGGCACTGACAAAATTAGAGAGGACAAAATTGCTCTTGGTTAACTTACAAAAAGAAATTCACGTTTTCCTCCTCTGCTAGTAACAGCTAAACCACTTCTAATGCTAGGTCAAAAAAAGCATCACTACTACTGCTTGCTCAGGCACAATTCTAAACACTACCCAGTCTGAGTATGTAAGTGTGGAAAGAATTCCCTTTCCTTCCCCATAAGAAAGTCATGTTCCAGCTGCAAAAGAACAATGCAGCAAGCAAACTGCTGATCCATGTTAGCATTGTGCAGGGTTTAGTCAGGAAAGAGTTAACTCTCTTTACTGTGGCTGCTAGGAAGCTGTTCCTGGCTGCAGAGAGCAGCACTGATCAGGTCTCAGCTGGTGCTGGGCAATGCCTGCACCAGATTCAAGGTCTTTCTCTGCTTCTGACCCTGCAGCTGCATTCCCAGCTCTCGCTGTCTCACTACAGGCAGTGTAGGGGACACACAGCTCAGGCACCTGACCCCAACTGACCAAGGGAGTATTTCATTCCATAGTACGTCATGCTCGGGGCACAGCTGTGGAAGGGGTCTGGGAGCCCTTACTCTCTTGCTCGTTCGCTCCTGTACACTTGCGGACACTCTCCCTGACTCCTGCGTTAGCTGCTTTGCTAACTCCCGTGCTGGCTTGTTCGTGAGGGAGTTGGTGGGTTGGTTTAGTTCTCCCGTTCGTGCTATTGCGGACAGGGTTCACCCGGAATCTACTGCGACAGCTCTCGGGCTCCAGCCCTCGGGATCTCTGGCTCTGACTGTCACTACTCAGCACCTGGTTGTGCACTGGTCAGTTGCTGGTAAGACTGTACCACAGGTTTTATTTTCTATTTTTTTCATTATTTTTTATTAGTAGTATTTGCATATATTAATTTAGATTCAATTAGTAAATAGTTATTATCTCAATTTTACGAGCTTCCTTTCTTTTTCCTCCAATTCTCCCCCTCTGTTTTGTGGTATTTTGTAAGCAGCTTTGTGGTATTTTGCTAGCCGGAGTTAAACTGCGACAGTCCTTTTTGGCGCCCAATGTGGGACTCGAAGGGTTGAGTTAAGAACAGGTCTGATTACTGTGTGTTAAAACAGATTGTGTGATAAGTATCGGTTATAGGGATGTTGTAGTGGCTGGTCAGCACGTTAAGGTCTTGGATCTTTATGTTGTTGACACAACGGTGGGACTTCCTGCCCTGTGTGCTCCGTATGATACTGATCATCCATGCTCTGAC